AAGGTAACTAACATTTAAAAAAAAAAAAGATCAAGCTATGGTTGAGGTATTTCTCACTGGTAATGAAAGATATGTCACTGATAGATGAAGCCAATGTACTGTTCATTCTATATTCACTCCGCGATGTTGATAAGCGAGCAACCTTATAAGCCTTATAAGAGCAAATTCTTTTTAGTGTTTGTTTTTGAGAGTTAACTAAAAAGCAGGATAAGAAGACGATTAATATTTTACACTTATTTTTTATTTCATTTCTCGGGAAATCAGAAGAAATAATCTCAAAACGTTAAGCTCAAGGTTTAGATACAATTACAACTAAAGAGGTAAACAAAAATATACATTCGTCCACTTTAAAAGCATTTAAAAGTAAGAGAAGCAGCAATATTTTATAGTAAAAAAAAATTGACGAAATCGATATTTCATTTTTCGGAAGAATGAAACAGATGATTTAAGAGACTGGGACCTTATTTTGGTGGAAATGAGAAAAATAGCAAAGAAGCTATTTGGAAAGACTTCCTGAAAATCCTTCTCTGTGAGCTTTCTTTTCTAATTTATTAAAAAAGGAAAAAACTGTGAGAGAAGCTACGAATAATGCTATGCAATGATTTTAACACAACTGGACCACTTTCAAAAAGCAAAGATCTTTCAAATAATTTCAGTACTTTTAATTTCTTTTTCTCTCTAGCGGTATGCCTACTATAGATCAGTAATAATGAAATTTAAATCAGATAGATGAATGGTATCTCAATGATACTGAGCAAATTCATAAACATTTAAATTAACCTAATCTTATTTCCAATTCTAAAAGGATAATAAATCTGAATTTCCATATTTCAGGCTTCCTTCCAAAGATGATATTTCAACAACACGAAGATTTGCCGATGAAGAAATACCTCCAGTACAAGTACTTCAGTTGATTCTTAAGAAGTTTTCCTATAAAGAGGTGAGATGAATTTCATGAAAAATATTCATAAAATGTTGCATTTAAATACTAATGAAAAGTATGCATAAAATCTTGAGATTGAGATAAACCCACAAATTAAGTTCGAACAAGAGCTCGTTCATTAAATAATTTTATAGCGGTCAGAGAATGGATGGATGTTTGTTATATGCACGGACTAATTGAATATTCCATGAGTGAGACTCCTTAATTTGAAATGAATATCAGATTAAAGAAACTTATCATTAGGAACAACTTTCAACCTTTTCAATTATTGCTACTATATGTGTAAATTTTACAATCGGTAGTTATTTATTCAAGGCAAAAAAATCTACAAAGATTTATTACATGAATTTGAATTTATATTAATAAATATGAATTCATTGGTAAAATGAATTTCAGTTAGGTAAACTGAGAGAAGTTCATCCGCACTGGGATGAGCTGTGCGGACAAGCGCTGAATAGTGGTTATCATGAATTGATTAAAAAAGCGGATAAATTACTGACGGATTGTCAACGACGTGTACATTCTGAACCCGATCTCCATGACGTACTGTCTATTTTAACTAATGTACAAGTGCACATTCTAAACCCCGTCGATATATTACGTCCAGCTATGGATGAAGGTTCCCATTTTATTTTCTTTACTGAGAATTAAGTACTTAATAATCAGCATAATTATATAAAAAATGACATTCACCGCCAATTATGCAATATTGCTACGGTCAAACTTATTATTTCAGGTGTTTGTTGCTTTCCGTACGGTGAATTACTCGATCAAACTTTCCATATAGTTGGAAAAGCAGAAGAGGTGATGGAAGGTAGAAAAGATGTAAGTTTGATTACTAGATAAAAAGGATCTTTATTTGAAAAGGGAAAAATAGTAGTTTGCAAAATTGATAAGTTTGTAAGTGTTCATCTTTCTTGATCAGTGTAGTTAAGTCACCCAAAACTTTGTTGGATCTTTGATGTCGTATATAGTTACATTTCTCATACATATGTACGCAGATATTAAATGCTCATTTTGAGGAAGAAAAGGAAAAAGGATTCTTATATGTAAGGACCTTCTTATAGGTAATAATCAACTGGAAGTCAGTAGCTGAACTGGCAAGACGTGCGCAGTTACATTACAGATCAAATTTAGCAACAATTATGGAAGAGAAATTGGGCGAGGTGATCAGGCTGAAGGCATTACAATCCATACAAAGAATAGACAGTTTCATGATCGATTCAACAGTTAATAAACTTGAAAAGTTTGTTTTTTTGGAAGTGCTTGATGAAACTTTCAAATCAGAAGGCACTTGAACTTTCCACATAAATAAATTATGTGCAAATTCAAAGAAGGAACTCTGTCAGATCCATGCATGAATATTGATTAATTTAAAAATAGAGTTCTTCAGGTATTCTTCTGTTGGCAATCGTTGAATCTATTAGGTTTATTAGTCACAGATAATTAATTGATTTTGGTTAGAAGCGAAATCCAGTTTTTTTGGAAATTTCCTATATCCACGTTAAAGTAGAAAGCAAATTTGTGAACTGGAAAAATGGCGTGAAGAATCCATATTACCTGTGTATAGGTGAAGTAGAGATGAAATTAAGGTTATAGGTCCTACTGAACTATAGATACACAAATTCAAGGAGAGAAAGACAAGGAGAGAAGGATTTGTCAAAGCCGAAAGACCGGTATTGCTGTTGAAAGAGTGCTTAGAAGTAGAACGTGTAGGATATTGCAAAGAAGATTACAGGATTTTTTCTTTCCTCATTATTGCTTTCAGCATAAATAATCACCGTCTGTCTTTTCTTTGTGGGTGAATAAGCCCATTTCTCCTGAAAATGCAAACAGTTAAATAAAAAAGGGGAATTTTCCAATACTGGTTTCAAATTTAAAACGCCAAGAAATGAAATGAAAGCTGAATAGACGTGTATTCTAGTTTATTAACTTTCTGTGATAAATTGTCGGCCATATCTTAGATAAATAGGCATTATCTACATTTGGCAGTATTACACTACTCGATAATCCTTTCGTGAATAAACTCCTCAGTGATGTAAACATTATAGTTGTCTTGTATTATTACAGAGCAACCCATATGGCACGAGATGAATTGGAATGGGAAATCGAGCAACTCAGACATCAAAATACCCAGTTGAAAAAGGATAATCGTGAACTCAAAAAGGACTGTATGAGATTAGAAGCAAGAGTGGAAATCATCGAAAATAAATTCAAAACAATGGCTCGATTGCTACAGTAAGCGTGATGATGATTGAATTACTCTTTACTGTGGTGGTGTAACTGCAACTACTGCTTTTACTTGTTGTTAGACTCGTTTCTTAAAAGTGGATCGAACTGAATCTTAAATAGAATGTAATGTTCCTGCTGAATACGTAAAAAAAGACATTTTGCTTCCAGGCATGCAAATACTTCATTTTTTATAAATTGAAATCTGAAATTTAATAGATTGATTCATTAAAGATGTATTTGCTGCTGACTAATATGTATAAGTTAAAATACTTTGATACTTTCGTTTTAATAAAATGTTATGTTAAAGGCTGGCGAAAGAATAAATTTCTTGTTTCAAAATTACAGCTATGTGGAGCAAGGAACCTTACTTTAGTTCACTAATATATTTCATTATTCTTTAAAACAATACAGCCACTGCATTCCCTTCGTTACTATCTTTCTGTAAACATAAAACATAGTTTTAAATTTACTGAACCATTTCCAATTGCCAATATCTTGCAAGTAAGGAAAATTCAAAGCCTCATGAAATTTATTTCCGAAACCTACAACTATTCCCGCTCCTTTAATGAGTATTGAAACCATTTTTTCTTGATACCAATCTAAGTTTATGTGTTTATTTCAATGTGTTAATTGACATACTTTGCTTGCTAAACAGAATTTGCACAAAAGTTAAAAGTCACAAAAATCGGCACAAAAGTTAGAAGTCCCACCCTTTCCCTCTTGAAGTTGCTTCGACGAGAAATTTATTCCTCATCAACTTTTTTTAAATACATTCCCGAAATGTAGTAAAAATAGAAAGTTCTTTGCCTTTCAGCGGAGTCTACAGTCATGTAGAAACTATTATGCCCGTACAAAAAATATGTGAAAATGAGCTATTTGCACAAGAGTGGAACTTCAGAAAATTTTCATTGCATTTGATAGTCAGTGGACAGTTTCAAATCTATCTCCATATCAAAGAATTCTTTTAATCAGAAATTATAAAATCGAAAAACAGTTTATTCAGAGGTGAAGTAACTATGTAGTAAGTTAATTTAATGGATCAGAAACTGAAATAAATAGGCTAAAATTATGCAGTCAGTTTCAAGAATAAGAAATCCCAAAGCTTAAAGGCTGGAGTATAATCTAAAAACATAAAGAACCAATACACTACGTTTAGCCTTCCGATTTTAGTAACCCAATCAATTGTCCCTCGATTGCTTTTCAAGCTTTTTTTACTACAAAAATCAAAATGTCCATCCACTCACCAATCGATTTTTTTTACGAGAAAAAATTTGCAAAAACTATTAGAAACATGGGCAGTAAAAATATCAACAATCATTTTTCGAATTTACACATCTGTCAGTACTAAAAAATAATCCATTACTTTGGAATGACAATAACTACAATCACAGTCTGATATGCACTATCAGCAAGTGAATGAAATAAGATCTGCAATGAAATAAAATCTGCAAAAGAAATTCATGCTGAGAAGCCTGAGAAGATTCAAAAGTAAACAAAAAAAAATGATGCTTTTATATAAAGTTATGCAAAATATGTGAATAAAATCAGACTTGTTCTTTCTCCTACAGCTATAGAACTGTAGAATTGAGAGAAATACTATATACTTCTTATATCGAAAGATTCTTGTTCGTGACAAAAGCTCCCACGGCTCTGCAAAAAATTAGATGGTACTGGTTTTGTCAAACCAATGCAAAATCTAGTTTAAAATTTGTCTTTTTTGCTATCAGAAACTGATACTTTGAACTCATAAATTCTTGAACACAGAATTACAATAAAAATTAGGGAAGTAGACTCGAAAACGAGGTTTGTTTGATAAATGCTAATGCTATGTATGCAAAAGACATTCTGATTTCGCATAAATCAATAGTCTCAACAGTCCATACTTCAATAGCTTTGCTTTGTGACTCGAAGAATCATCTAGGATTCTGATGCCTCTGTTATAACGTTTGCCGCCTTCATGTACGGCTAGCATATTGTTGTCTTTCATTACATAGTAATGCATATTGATGAGAAGCAATATATCACCAGGCTAAATCAAATTTATGTTTTAATTTCTAAATTGAAATTCGAAAATTGCATATTCAAATTCTACAATTTAACATGTAGTGTCCATTGTTGTATTTCTTAAATTGCATGAACTGAATTTTTGAAATTATATGAAACTGTAGAATCACCTTAACAGTTTTTTTCAGACAAGCTCCATGCTCATTATAAAAGATTACATCGCAAAGATATTCCTGAGCCAGTGAGCTCAATTCTTCATCTATATGTATTATTTCGGAAATATTTTCATTTCCGAAGAAAAATGTAGAACTGCAATACAGAAAACTTATCCAACACAGACATAAATAGCCTTTAATTAAATTTATTGAAAAAATTTTAATGAAAACATTTCATATCTAAGAACTATGAACTTTAAGACTCAGGAAAAGGCAATTTGGTAGTAGAATGATTAACATTAATTAAACTGAATTTCCAAACGAGCATACTGTTATAACTTGATCATTGAATCTGATAGAAATAAATAAAATGAAAAAGATACCTAGGTGGTTTTGTAGTGTCCCAACATCGTAATACTACATTATTCCTATCACTTATGAATACTGATACTGCCTGTAAGTGTGAAAATAAAAATCGATTAAGCAGCGTCGCAATGAGGAGAGGAAAGCGACATTCTTGGAGATCATGAACATTAGTTTTATTCAACTGAGAAGTACTTCAAAAGTTTTTTTTGCTTTCTTTCAATGTCATAATCTGGAAGCAAAACAACACTGAAGTTTACAACATTAATATTAAGATCACTAACAAATTAAACTAATGTCTTGAATAAATATTTGCATTTACTAAAATATTGATTACAGTGTTGATAGTATCCACACTTTTTTTAAGTTGTTAATTGTTAGCCATCCATCAAATTAAAATATAACTTTAAGTACCTGTACAACGATGTTGTGATATTGAAAACGCACAAGTTGATTCAAACGGCAAATTGTTTTACTTCCATTACTGAAACCAAGTGTATTGTCACGAACAGAAATAGCTGCAGATGAGGCAACAGGCACATTATTTGAATAAATTTGTAGTACAGCAATCTAGAACCAAATAAATAATTTATAAAATTTCAATGCCAAAAAAGAAAAAAGAAAACGCTTGTTATTGCAATTAATGGATAATCATTGTTGTATCAAGGAAATCTAAAGTTACTAAAGAGATCTAAAATTAATCTTGTCAAGCACAGCAATAACGGAAATCCTAATTAATTATTTTAGAGACTAAAATTATTTAAAAAACCCAGAATCAATATTTAGAGCGACTTAAAAAAAATTTGAAAAGCCATACCATTTCTTGGCAGTTTTCGGGTAAACTGTAGTTGGCGCATGAATGGAAAACGACATTATATCCACTGCCTGGATGATCACTAATTAATACGATGGTGAGTCCATCATCATTCAATTTCCCATATAACGACGGTAGTCTTCCCGGATTTGTTCGAATCTACCACCAAATGAGAATCATAGAAATATATGAAGCATTAAATTAATTTATGAGGAACTCAATGCACAGTATTTTATTTAAAAAAAATGAAATGCCAGGCGATTAACAAGCAAGTCTGCAGAATAAGGACCAGAATTAACAAAAGTAGCTTATATGAACTATCCAATTAGTGGATATCCAATTAGTGGTTGATGTTGACTACTATGCCTACCGCAGTAATGAATAACTTACATGAATATGATTAAGTTGGATAATTTGGTCAGTCTTAATTTCTTCCGAAAATGTATCCGTTAATTTGCTATATAGAGTGCATCGTATGAAAGAATCTGTACTAGAATCCCGCAAATATATAACACTTGCTATCTGCACTTGAAAATGAAAAAAGTTCCAGATACGTTTTCATCTTCTACATGAAAAATAATAATGTCCGAGCAGTATTAAATTTGAACAGAAAGTCATAACTTTTCCAATGGAAAGTAATAAATATAACCTGTAGGATTACCACAGTAAGATTTTTTCTCGTCGGTTATCCGTGCTTTAAGCATTCGATAAAACTAAATCTCATACTTTGAACTTACCATTTTCTAAGATATCAACTGATCGAATATTTCTCACTTCAACAATCTTAGCAAACACATGAATCTGCAAAAGTTTTCATTTAATAAACTCGAAAGGAAAGTAGAAATAGAAGTAGACTAATCATGGATCACCGGATCATTAGGAAGTAGGTCGACTCATCGACCTGACAATTAACATCTGTCTTTCCTTAACAGTCCTTTGGATGAAGTTACCGCCTGATCACTGAAACAATTTTGAATACTATTCTTAAAGTTCGTGTTAAATTAGCCCAGTCTCATAAAGCTGCATCCGTCATCAGATAATCATTAACACTTATCTTTTCTTTCGTGTTGCAATTCCTCAGATCGGCCAAACTTGTATAAAAATAATTCGATTGTGGTTGCATAATATCCTACAATACTTCCTGTTTCTTACAAATTACTAAAGGACAGATTCGACTATTTCCATAAAATGTTCCATCCACTCTAAACTTATAATGTAGACAGCAGAAGGCTACGCCACTTCTCATTGACAGGGATGGACAGAAGCTAACACTGTAGCAATACCTCAAGGGCAATAAATCGAGATTAATTTGTCATTTGACCGGAGTCAAGTTAACGACAAAATGTTCACCATGAGCCCGCCTTTGAGTTGATTAAATTCTACAGGACGTTGCGCTGGATGGTCATCGAACACCTCAAAATGTCGACTTGGCCGCGCCGCGAATTCCTAAACATTCTATGCCTCTCCCATTTCCCATTCGCTATAAGCTACATTGTTTTAATTAAAAAGAATCCTTCATATATTGTTTTATTAAATCACAGGCATGTACAGTGCATTCATACATACATATATTAGCATATTAGAAATATGGCACAACAGATCGCATATATTATGGAAAATGTTTGTTTATATCGATATCTAATCTTTGTAAAGCGCGTAACATAACAAAAAAAAAAAAAAAGAGGAAATACAGCGAATGGTACTCAGATGTTCATAATCATGCGGTCCGTTTGTCTCCATATACATTTTAAAATTGCAGCTTCTCTTCCTATTGGTATGAAAACTTTTGGCTAAACAAGCCCTTTAACTATCCACTTTATACAAACTTTTCAGAATTCCGAGAATAAGATATGATAATCTATGAAGGAAGAAGTTTAGAGCAAACACCAGATCAAAAACAACGGCTAAAAAAATTTGTGTCAACAACCGGTGAAGTGTGGAGAAATTGATTTTTTGAATAAATAAAGAACATCTCGAAAACAATCTCGTCAATTACTTTAGATTTGTTTTAAAACCATAGAAAGAAATGAGTCCTTACTGAACACCTCTCTTCTTAATATCTTCCAGATGTTGGGTTGACTTCTTCTTATATAAATCAGTAACAAATTGTGTGCCCGCTTTACGAGCTGCACGACCGGCGATGGATCGTGGGCCAAGATCCCAAAGCTGCAAAGCAGCCAAAGAAGTGTGACCAGTTGCATATAACGCTTCATGTGCTATTATCGAAGCTTGATTACCCCATCTGAAAATTCAAATCTGAATAAAATTAGAAGGAAAATATTGATTATAATAAGCAATAGATAATAACGATGTTTGTTTTAAAAAGTTTACTTAACATAAAATTCCAGAGTGCGCGTTATTCAGTGGTATGAAAACTTTATCTCTAATTTGAATTAAAATTTACTTGTGCTTCACAGTATCGACCGTTTCATCAGCAATATTTTTAGCCATTGCCTTGGAGGCATTTTCGAGAGCAATCTATACTGTGCTTGCACTGGTGATACCACTCCCCAGTACATAAACTGTGCCATGAACAATACCAGTTTCACTACCAGCAACGTGTTTCTCTGCACTAGACGCTAAACTCTTTCCAACTGATATACCCATATCTCCAACTTTATCCACTAAATGACAAATTGTTATATTAAATTATTACATTAAAAAATATGTGAATTGAACAATACCATTACACAAGAACTACACAATAAATAAAGCTAATTACAGCATTCTTCAATAATGTTTAACGAAGCAAATGAAATTTCAATTACCCACAATTATCTGCCACCTTCTCCTTTCATCATAAAAAGATTGCAAATGAACTGATTATATAGATCAAAAAAAAAAAAAAAAAAACTCAGAATATATTAACCTACTCATCATGCAAATTTTCACACTACTAATGAGAGCTTATCATTTGTTAATCCCCAAACGAAGGAATTGCAATTCCTTCTTCTGGGAACATATTAATTAACCATTAACTATGCATAACTTTAAGAGTTACGGAAGTAGAAAATTTACATAAATATTTTGTGCACTTCGCGACCATTTTGCTACCCTTGTGGACATAATGTATACCGAATCTAATGCTTGCATTTATTTGCATTGGTTCTTGATCTGATACAAGTGAAGAGCGAATTCGTGCTGATTTGTCAGACACAATTCTGGATGTTTTCTGGGCAACACAGTTTATATTTGTCGCCAGGTAATCACCACCTGCATGAGATTTCATCAAAATAGACTTTTAGAACAGAATTTCATTTTTTTAGTAATACGATTTCAAGTATCTTATTCAAATTGTATGCTTCAATTTAAAGAAAAAATCCAAGATGTGAGAAAAAGTGACCTCTTACCAAAAAATCGCCAATTTTCTGACTAAGATACTGTCTTTCTTCTTTACTCATTTGGAGAGATAATTCCTGGGTTCGTATCTCAGTATAATGTCTTAAAATTGAATGGAAATCCTCCTTATCTTTAAGGTCGGAATTTTTAGGTAACATGATCCCAACAAACATATCTGGAATTAAGTGCAAAATCTTAACAGTATGGTTAAATAAAATTTAAAGTCATGTCAAAATTTAAAAGCTCAGGAAAATTAAATTCCACTATAAATCTAAAGGGTATAACCTGGATGCCCTGGAGTTGGATTTGGCACTATGTATGCGCCAAAATCATTTTTCAAAACTTGTGTCTTTCCATGAACCAGTGGATATGACCACGGACCCACCTGAAATCATACAGAGGTTGATTATAATTCATCATTCTATCTTGAAAGAATGAAACGTAACAAATGGTCGAAAGTTTTTCAACGAATCCTTGTATTTCCGATTTTAAGCCAAAACCCATAATTCATGATTCCAAAAATCTGGGATATGAAATGTCTTATTTGCCTAAAGTGGCTTGTATACTCCATATTATATTTGCATATGATAACTTTTTGGTTATAAAAGGACAGAAATCGAAAATCTTCGAATTTAATTAAAAATCTCCCCATAAACCAGTGGATTTGTTTTTTCAAAAAATCGAAACTTCAATTTTCAACCTCCCGTAGCACATACCTGCATAAATGCTTCTATCTGGATAGTTTCCAGTCTTTGTTGACCTAAGGAAAATCGAAAAATTTCTAGAGAAGAAGGAACAGTAGGAACTGAAGTGGTTCCATTCTGAAAATGAACAGGTTGGAGATTTTTAGGCTTCCAGGGAACTGTAAAGAATTAGTATAAAAAATATCACCACTTGATTGTTTAGAAATAACAAAAGCTTGAACGCACCTCAATGATAAAAAGCTGCACTCCATTTGGTATATAATATACCAACTCAGCCTCTATAGTGTGCACTGGTTCGATTTGCTTTTTAAATTCCTTTTTCCAAAACTAAACATTTGTGCAAATTAAATTGTATTATCTAGCTTAAGAATTTTTGTTTTCCAAAGAGTAATCATAAAAGTTCGCATCATGGAATCATAGAAAGAGTTGTAAAAACAGACCTCTTCACTCGCCATTTTTGTTTTTTTGGTGTCAGATGTTACATCTTTGATCTGTTTCTGTCTTTTCTTATTCGCCTTTAAATGTTTAATTCTTGCTTCCACTCGATCCTTACCTTCCATAGCTATTTTATACATATCACTACTCTTGTAGTTCTTTCCCTTCGCCGCTTCTTTTATGAGTAACAAACTTCGATCATAAAATGCCAGTGCATTTTCCTGAAATTCACTTTCAAAACTTAATAATTCTTAAATGATAGTTTGAAAAGTTCCCCCCTTCCACTTCTAAATTCACTATTTTTCCAATATAATATACACACAAATAAACAAAACTAACAGTATCACTGATTTCATCATAGCAAAGGCCTTGTTCCATGCAAGCACATGCCTCAAAATACAGTTCATTGATGTTAATATTTGTTGCCATTTTGCATTTGTAGTGATAATATAATTTCACTCTTTTGCTAACAAGTCGTAACGAACTGTAGGCGTAAAAAAAAAAGATTGTTTGCACAGCCTTACTATGTATAATTCATCATTTTCCAATGGCAGCAACTTCACCGCCTACATGAAAGGATGTTTGACACATAGGAAAGTACGATATCAATTTTTAGAAAACATTATGCACACGATAGTTTCTAACATCGAACTATTAGTGGATATTTTATAAAAATACAGTCGTTCGCAATTTGCTTGGATCACTGAGAACCGAAAAGAAAGTAATACCACTACATTAACTTAGGAAAAGACCTGATCAGAGTTCTGAAACAAATTACAAATGAAGCAAATTTTTACATTGTATTAGCGGCAAGCGGCAACGTATCCTACGTACATGAAATGATGCAAAGGTTGCTTTGAATGAAATTAAAACATTATTAGCGACCAGTTAAAATTAAATATTTCACTCATAACAGGGTAATACATGGAAATCCCTTCCTTTCCAGGCCCAAAAATGAGAAAACTTGCGAGGAAGTAAATAGATAACACCTATAAATCTGTGTCACTCTTAAATTTAACCTTTTATGACAGTTAGAAATCAATAAACGGTGTAACATGATGAAAATGCAGAGTTCTATGCGAGTAAGTAGAAGTAGAAAGATACATAGCTGTAATAAACATTATAAACAGGAGCAATGTCCAAAGACCTAACTCGTTAATTAAATCTGGTTCGGGAGACCATTGGGCCTTAGACAGAACTGACTCAGCGCCTTAGATGACGTAACGATTTAATGTGGGGACGTCTTATGGATAGTTCCGCAAACAATTTAATCTCTAGAACAGTCTAATCTCTGTCGTTTTATCAATTTTTCATGTCATAACATTCAGAAGTCCCATATTTCACCGAACCAATTCTAAAATGAAGTTCACAAAAAATCCTTCCATCCTTTTTGCATAATACAAGTTGAGAAAGTAAAAGGAAAAAAAAGGATTATGTATTGAAAATATATTATTTTAATGTTTCTGGAGGTTCTGTTTTGAGGATCCAATTGTTTCCATATCTTATTACTGATACTGGTAATAAGTTGAAATTTACTGAATAGCGAAAACGGCTAAATATTAGAATACTAGAAGAGAAAAGAAAATAATGAGTCAAAGAACTAGAGAATATAATTAAAATTATTTATTCATATCTAATTACTTAATTATTCATGTCATTGATTTCTGATTTTATGCATTTTCTTGAGTGACAATTTTTATCAGCGAAGCTTCCTTATCAGTAAAATAGATGATGATTTGTTCCCTCTGCTCTTAACAAATAACTCAAAAATCTTCTAGAAAAAAATACAACAATGTCAGTTATGAAAAAGTTTCAACAGTTTATGGCCACTTTTCTTTGATGAGGACATTTTGACCAAATCAACACCTTTCGGGCTCTTCGAACAAAGACCAAATGTACTGGAACGGCCAGAACTCTTCATTGAGAAAGCACTTTTATTTACTGAAAACTATTTTATTTCAAAATAGTTGCGCAAAAAAAGAATCAAAAAAAAAAAAAAAATAAACGAATCATCATTCTCCTTTTCTATTAGCGTCACCAATTATGGCGCTCCACTCTCAATCACATGAAATTCAGAAAAAGAATTTTGCATGTAGAGCTCCATTCTTTAATATAAAAGAATAAAGTGATGAGATCATACAGATTTCCCAAAATAATAAATCAGCAAGGCTAAAAAATGCTTTCAGCTGATAGCTGAAACAAAATCATTACTAAAAGATACATCAAAACTCATCACTTTTCTCATATACTTGCTCAACCAATACTATCCTTTCCTTCGAAATATATGTTTAGAAAACCAATATTAAAAATATTGAATATTACGAAGTTTACCCGAAGAAGCGATTTCAGAATCCGAGGAACAAAGTCGTGGAGACGGACTGCGTCTTTTGGAACGATCAGTTAAGAGAATAGTGATTGGACGTCTGAAAAGTGCAGCAACTCGTTCCCATTCATCTACAGCTGAGACTTCGCCGAACATTACGCCAAATCGTTTCGCTAACTTTTCACCATCTGATTCACTTACCTGTCTAGAATCGAAGTTAATCTTCGATATAGAAGTATTCTATGTAATGGTCAAAATTAACAAATCTTTTTACACTTTTGTTAACCTGCTTCTCTGATTTTTTTCTTTCACAGAAAAATATAATTCTTGTCAATCTATGTGGTATCGATGAATAATCATTGATACAGCTTGATTTCTTTCACGTACCCTCAGAAAACTGCAAAAATGATAATGAGCAATGTACTGGAGGAATGCTAAAACGCAAAAACTGAAAAGCATTCATGTGGTTTTCTGGAAAATTTTCTGATACTGGAACTTTCAGTCTAAAGTTTTTGAATCCAGGACCCTCCTCAAGAACGTAAAAATTCAACGCTTTTGAAAAAATATTGAAAATCTTGAAGAAAATCATAAAATACAGCAAGTGCTAGTCAGGTATCTCACCTAACAAGATCTACATAAATTTCTTTATGGACTTCAATTTTCAAAAACATTTTTAAGCAATTACCGGTAGCGTTCAAGATCAGTCTTATTCCCTACAAGTAAGCATTTATGTTGTCGCGAACAAAGATGATGTTCATGGGCTGCAATTTGTTGCATTGTTGATTCCGCGTACTGTAGAGACAATTGTGATGTTATATCATATACCTTAAATGGTAAACTTACATATTTTTTAAAAATACTTGAGAGAATCTTGCTTAGATCGTGCAGAATACATTGCCTCTTAATATAATAAGGAAAACTTCACAGAGAATCAAAAGAGTTTTGTAAAGTCATTGAGTTTCATCCAGTAAAAATGATAGTGTTTCCCTTCGTGAAATAATTATCGTTAATCAATCAACCTTTCAAAACATGAAAATAATCGTTTATAAAAATTAGATAAGAAAACCTTTCTGTATTAAAAATTAGTAAAAATAACGGCCATTTCAAGAAGCATAAAATCAATCTGGACAAATTAATAGGTAAACATTAATTTTTCTATTTTGAGAGAACTAACAATAATGTAAACATCAGCCCACGAAAGGTAACGCATTGCATCTCGTCCTGAACCATCCACTGTATCCATCAAACATACGACAATCGGTTGCGAGAGTAAAACATCTTGACGACAGTATGTATCTTCTGACGATTTAAAAATTCAAATATGTTACGATTTTAGAGTGTATATGATTTTAGAGAGAAAAATTCCTTGACTTGTATGGGGAAAATAAATACTTAAACACTCGAGCAGGAGTCAAAGTCTTCTCATCACTGATGGTTAGAAATGAAATCTTGAAACCACATACATCAAATCTGTAAAAAACAAACCAAGGTTTGGGTCATAATCGCCAATGAACCGACCCGCTATATATTTCACTGCCAAAGCTGCGAAATAATGGTAATGAAATGTTTATAAATCAAGCAAATATAGTACTGGCGTGTATAAGATAAAGAAAAGGTAACACTAAATGAAATTTTGGAAGACAAGTCGGATTCATTTTATCAAGGTCCAGAAAAACTCGTGGAAGAGTTAGTTTTTTAGTCGATGACATTGTTATTTTGAACAATCAGTAAAGAAATGAGCATAAAATATCAAAAAAAAAAAATCATCTATAAAGATAGGGAAGATTTTACTAGCACTACTTGTTCTTTCTTTAAATAACAAAAATTTTACAGATGTACTAACCAAATAGTGCAGTAATAATTAGGTCAAAGTATTCCTTGTAAAATCACAAATAATGCAACACTCACCTGATTTCCCGCAACCCGTCATCCCAATCAAAGCGACATGCATTTCAGTAACTGATGAGCACATCATTCTTCGCTTCCAAAATTAATAGGTCCTAAGTTATTGCCCAATTTTCTGCCTAAGAGGAGTAGAGGAGTTGGATGGAAATAAGAAGCACTTTGCAGTCCTGACATCGTAAACGTCAGCATGAGAAAGGCAGCTGATCCTCTTCATTCCCCACCTTAGAGAATATTTTGCTGTAATAAACTTAATATCGATTTCTCAAAACATCAGCAGCGACTTCATCCTCCTTCCACAACTATCTATTCCAAACCATAGTTTAACTATCCCTAAGCTAAATTACGCATGAATAGCCTGAGATTCATTTATAATAAAAATTTTCCGTAAATCTGATGGCTTATCAAATAACTTAAATTTATTCAAAATGAGAAAAACCGAAATGGAATTTAACAGTTTACTGACACACTTCAAATAATGATGACAGAATATCGGAGATCGAAGAGATGAATTCAACACTAGTAATAATTAACAATGACAAAACACAAACAATTGCTGAAATAAGCAAAAAAAGCTCTGAGCATATTCAGAAGACAATTAGCGGTGATGCAACTTTGGAATAATTGGATTGCTCATGCTGGATTGTCTGGTGTAATAAATGGCGGTAAATGGAAAGTAGCTGTGCCAAATCCCCGTGTGCGATCAATTGAAATAGCGAAAGGATCTGTCGGATGAAAAAGAAGCTGGACAAAGCGACCTTGATTAAGGTTCATTTCGAACAATGGCAAACACGTTAGACGAGAGAAAAACCTGAAACTAAAATTGCATTGGCAATTTCCAAACTGAGAAGTAATTCCACAGTAATGTCTGCAGTCCTTTAAAATGTATTTGTCCAATCTTTCAATAGAACTCATCTCTAAAAATTAGAAAACTAATCTTTGACAAGCCCACCAAAAATATTTACAAAAATTTTCAACATCCTAGTAACAGAATTTAAAAATGGGACTCTACTAAATAATACGTTAATTGAAAACCGAATGGCACGTTAAAACTTATCTAAAAAAGCTGTGCATTGAAGAAACAAGCCAGAGAAATCGTTTTATCCATAACATTTTCAAGAAAAAAATCGACAGTATGTGAAAAAAAGAAAGAATGGATTTAATCTGTCCTCATAAGATAAAACTATTCAAGTCATGCTTAAACTTCGAAACTCCACTAAATAAAACGTTAACTGAAATCTGAACAGATCTCGACTCTTCTAACAGACACCAAGAAATTGAAATAATAGAAAATGGAAAACTCTAACCTAATCACTTCACTGTCCGATAATTTGGTGCGTTCAATAAGTGTTATCAATCGATCATCAAAGCGAAACATTGATGGATCCAAATATGGAGTTTCTACAGGAATATAACTGAATGAATAAGGCAACTGACATATAATACGTCTGCGTGTTTCCCTATCAGATCCTGTAATTAACATTTTTAACTGGCGAAAGATAAAACGCATGAATACCTTTTAAAACTATAAATTTATTTTCGGTTAATTTAAGCTTATATATATATTAATCAAGTTATCGGAATACTAAATTTCTTCGAATGTTCTATAAAGTTTACATACCGCATAATAATAATGAAGCAAGATCAAACTGGAAAAAATAAATTCATCATGGCTAACCTCCTCGAGCGTCTGTAAGTGCATCTTTCATACGCTGATAGGCCACCAACGCTTGTTGACAATGCTGAATGCTGCAAGGAAAACGATTCGTTGAAACATGAGCATACTTCAGTTCTTCTTGACATTTTTCTATCAACTTCAAAAAATTCGCTGAATAGCGATCGAATGCACCCAGAACATGACCTCTTTGCCAATCCATCAGCACGAGTAATAACGGATAGCTGCTAATTCCTGGGGTCGCAGCAAACGCCTCTACATGAAATATTACAGAAAAGCATAATCAAATTTTAAAAAAATTTGCTTTTGTGATTAACATAGCTGAGACCAAAGGATTTAGATTCACAAAGCCGGTACCTTCGTTCACAAAACGGATCAATATAATACTTGGAGTGACCAACTGCATTTGCCACATTCTCAGTGATCGAAACTGTGCGAAAGTATGTAAAAAATTGTCAACTTGAGTTGAATCTGTACATCGATGGTAAAGGTATGTCAAAATTCGTTGCTTCACTCCTATAAATTTCCCAACTTTTATATTCAAATTCAGAAACAGAAAAAGTGCTACCAAATAAATAACTACATTTTATGCTTATTCATTTTTTCACGAAAGCTATCTAAAAATCCCAAAATATATAACAGATAAAGAACGATGGATCCTTATAGGCTGTTAGCTTTCCAAAAAGAAAAAAAAATAATACGTCAGATCAAGCCAATGCAACATAACTGTTGAATAGATTAAATGGAATTGTGAAAACTGCTGATAGATCATAATCTTTATTAATATGTCTATGTGCAAATGCCAAATTGCATCTTATTAATAGGCTATGCACACAATGCATGAGAAGCTGAACATTACTGAAATTCGCAGCTTTTCAAAGAATACGAGAAACTGTATAGTGATTCCTATCATACATATTATTCAGTTTTTCAAAAACTATCAAATGATAAAATTTGAGCAATAAGTATTAGTAAAATATTCAAAGCAAAATTATATTAAAAAAACACTTAATTGTTTCAGGATTTAAAGGATAATTAAATGATGAAATGGAAACTTACCACTAAGAACAACATCAGTGGTAGGGCTATCTGGACTTTTCTCAGCAGCCATTACAAGATCCTCATCGTCAACAAATAAATACCTGAAAGCCATAGAAAACAAATTCGAAAATCTAGATAAAACTCTTGATATAAGAAAATCTCAAATTTCTTGAATCCTTCCCAGACTTTTCATACTGTATGCAAAGATAAAATATTTTGAAATAAACAAAACACGTAATGATGGACTTTGTTAATCAGTGTAGTTGGCCTAGGCTTTATTTACATCATGCATACTTAAAAATACTTTCTTCGTTAAAAGTGAAGTTGTGGAGAGTGAAGAAGGAAAACCAATAATCTCAGTAATTCTTCTACTATATTTTATAATTCATCAAATTTCATTTTTCATCATTTATTTAGATCCACGAATTTAATTCATGATCAAAGAAACAAAACTGACCGTCCCACGTGGCCAAGCACCGTGAAATAACCGGTATCTTCGTTAATATGCAGAAAATGAATTGTTTGATGTTGAAATGAAAGAATAGCGAGGAGGTGTCCCACCAGAGTTACGCCACGTGATATCCAAAGTCGGTCAGCATCCAGATAATATTTGTCACAGATATCACCTGTCTAGAAAACAATTTTAGCTTTAGAAAAATTAGCAGTTCTACTATTATTTTATTGCCAATTTGCCTATATGTCTTTATCATGGAATATAACATTCTGTAAAATTCATGCAGAACCTCTCATTAATTATAATACAAACATGTATGAAGCTTATAGAAAACGTAACATTCATGTCGATACAATAAATAATATAATTTATAAGCGCTTGTACTGAAACCGGAGGAAGCGACTCGTTATTCTGGTAAACATCATCCCATCTTAGAGCGTTTTCCGATGTAGGATATTCTGCAGCAACTGCAAGTAAAGCAGATCGCGCATGCCGACACTATTTTAATACTGAAATATATTATGAACTGAAAAACTATAAAGTAGCGAATGCAACTGACTAAGATATTTTCTACCTGAAGACTTAATAACCTGTATCTATGTCGTTCTCATAGTTAATACTAAAACAACATTTCCACATCAACTTCTTAAGTAGAAAAGAGTCTGTGAACAAAAGTTTTTGTTTTTTGAAACTTTGTCAACGCAAACCCAGTAGATAACGGCAATCTTCTGTAAAAAAAACGAATTCTTTGTTCAAAGCAGCTCCTTCTTCATCATCAGTTACTAGATTTATTACAAAACGCTTCGAAAAAACGTCCTAAAAATTGAAATATTTATTTCATGAAAGATCGAAATAAGGCAAATGCAATAAAGATATGCGAGACAATATCGAAATAAACAAAAAAAATCAGAAACTGGTGTATGTATGCATAAAGTGTATGTTAAAAATATTCTGAAAATGAACATGTCGTATAATGCAAACATGATTTATCAAAAGTTCCATATGTTTCTTACCTAAATGTTAAGTACTAAAAACGAAAACTTTTGTATATTCCTCTTGAAAAATGAGGAAGAGATAATAGCTAATGATTTAAAAATGCAAATTCACCTTAAACATGGTTTCCGGTTGTTTATTGTAAGCATTTGTGAAACCGCGATAATCATAAACATACAAATTATGACAGTTTGAGGAAAAACAAACGAGATTACGTCCATCCGGTGAAAATCTGCAAAGAATATCTTTTAAGCTTAAAAAATCCAACGTTTTTATTTTTATGAGACCAAATGCAGTATACATATGAATTAAATTTTGAGGACTTTATTCCTTTTTTTCTCCTAGGACGACCCTGGGTATTCCTAATTGTCTTCCATTTACAATAAATGGTTCATTACAATAAAATACAAGCTCACTGCAACAAAATACAAGTGGGTTACAACTACATTTCCTTACCATTTCATTCAAAAAATTTAGTAAAACACAACCTTCTAATGATTAAGTTTTTCTTATCAACTCCTGATATACTACAACTTGGATGAAAACACTGATAAAATTGTCGCGCGCCATAAAAGAAATGCGTTCCTGAAGAAATAAGAAAAACGCATGAAATATCCGAAGTATGGTTGCTTTGCAGCTAGTTCTAAAAGCTGCAGCACTCCAAATGCTAACCAACACAGCAAGATTGCACATGGCAATACCTATGAAGCTTAGTTACCTGGTTTCCGGCCACCAAGTTCACGCCTTTGAATCATTCGGGCCATATGAATAGTTGGTATTCGTCTATGCCTGCACCATTCCAAACCATACATTTCCCCAGATACCATTTCTGTAGAAAAAATATCGTATCATAGATAAGCAAAAACCTTTCATAGAATCTGAGTATATAATTTCCATCTGTCCATTATCTATCTCCAAAATATTTAAAAACTAGCAAAGTATTAAAAAACTAGTAAATAGAATTACATATACATTGTAACACAACTCTCACAAATGCGAGAACTTTCGACAATTTTTCTCACCGAAAAATTCTCAATGTTTTGACAGAGCTGGACAAAAATGAGGTTTGAATAAACCAGTACCTGATGTGATACGAAGCCATACCCATATATGTTTTATTTATAATATATAACTAGTGACGGAAAGCAAAGGAAGAGAACAGTTTTAAATGGAAAGCAATTTAGAGTCGTACATCATGTTTACATAATGGGCAAAATATCTCTGAGATTGATAAAAATGAAGCATATCAAATGGTGTGCAAAAACTCTCTAAAAATTTGTACACAGAAACAAACAATTTTATTTCTATCATTTCAAAAAACCAGAATTTCAGAGGTATACGAGAATTTAAATCACATACATTAAGAACTAAAGAAATGGCTAATATATCCAAAAGCTAATGATAATATATGAAATACAGTTGAACCAATCACATTCCTTTAAAAAAAAACCAGTAATTATCACATGATAAACAAATCGAATCTTCTATTGAATAGCATCTGGAGGATTATGCGAGAAATAATCCGGAAAACATTCACCAAGTTTTGCACCCTCTGGCAGTGGTCCATGTTTTTTAGTATCCCAATGCAGTTTGTATTGCAATCTGATCCATTCAGCACGTTTTTTCTCAAAATGAAGGAAATAATAATAACAAGATTCTTGCAAACTAAATTTAAATTCAAAATAAATATGCTGTTTTACAGCAAACTTAAAACTGAAAAACAAGGCATTATAGACGGAAAATCTTTCAAACACTTCAAATCTTGAATCGTCAGAAATAAAAAAAAAAAAAAAACTTGTTTGTAATTTGTAATGCATTCATTGAAGTCCCGACGCTCTAAATCACAATACTTTCGACCAAGCTTTTGTCCAAAAGCTTCCAAGCAGTGGAAATATTGCGATTCAAAAAACCCACAGTGTGTATCTGTAAGGCAAACTAGTTTTGGACAGCACAAATTAATTTAAAACAACTTCATTCCTGATCACCAGCAAAATGACACTTTCTATAAGTGAGATAATCAAGCTGGTACATCACACTTAAAAAACAAAAACCTTGTTTTGATGAAAGTCTTCGAAGTGCATCAACAAGTGGTAGCCTTATCACTGGCTCCAGCATATGCTCTTCCGCTTCTTGAAAATGAGGATTTTCCCGAAAGCTCATCTGAATTGGACGTGAAGATTGGATGTTGTAAACAACAAGTAAAGAATAAGGTAACACATGACATACAGGAATTAACAATTATTCAAGATATCGAAGCAAAACAAATCCTCAACCAAACTCCGTGACCGTCCACCCACTTCAAACGAAACTCAACAATGTGCTTGCTAATGAAGTCTCCAAATGCAATTTTAATCCCATAACAGATCTACGCAGAACACCGCAACCCCAGTTGTTCTCGAACTGTACTTTTTTGCATGGATCGACCCGATAATGAGTTGCATCAATTCCTGGTCTTTTACTATGTGCACAGCAAATGTTGAAGGAAATTTATTAACGAGACAAGAACACCAGTTGGATGGATGGATGGATGGATAGATTGATCACAACACTGCTAATTGTTATTCCACATTATAACGTGTTCCGCCTCTGCACTAAAATAGTTGTGATGAATGAAAGCGAAGTACAGGAGGACCTCTCGATATTTGGTGAATTGAACGATGACCTGCTGTCCAACTTCTCTTTGCACTCTTCAACTTCTATTCGTACTCGTTTTATCAACTGTTTCTTTAAAGGCTCAACCGAATGTGTCAGAATCCTAAAATGACTAACAATACATCATTTCTCAAACGCAAGTCAATGACACTACCATAATCTAAGAAAAACACATCAATCGTAACTGAACAAACGAAATTCACTAGAACAAAATATTTAAGGAGAATGGGAGCACAATAATTTATAACTTACTTTCTTGAATTTTCAGTATGCATTCTTCCAGCTCCATTAAACTTCTGAAATGTCAACACCGATTTTGGGCTTTGTACAACAGCGACATTTGGAATAGCAATAAAATGCTTCGTTTTCTTTTTAAAACGCAATAAACTCCTTTTAATTTTATCTGAGTAAATCTGCAATGAAAATCATAAGCATAATTGTTCGCTTTATATAAATACAATTTGTAAAACTATGGAGAAAAGAAATTTCTACTACCACATTTGTCGTCTACGAAGTATATCCAAGGGTTGATCATTTTCAAGCAACTAGCGAAATGTCAATTTATGTTAACATTGCAGAGGGTAGAATATACGAACAACTGATACAGGAAGCTCCTGATGTCATAGGTTAGCACCAGCTGGAAAGCAAAACTATCCCAAAGATGAACAAATCCATGAGAAGTAAGCTGACAATGACTGAGAGGTGATTCCATATAAATGAAAAAAGCCATTATCGTTAAATATTTAGCAAAAGCAGAAGTTAACCTTTGTGACAAGATATGCTAAAGCGATAAAGCCGACAGCAGCAACGCCTGAAACAACCAGAAGATCAATAATATCATCGTCCATATGCAATCTCTCTGTAAAGTATTTTATTTGAAATTTGAAGCAATATGCCTACTAATTTTGACACAACGCATATCAGAAAATAGAAGTGTCATCATTTTTCAACTATTCTCCACATTTGGAATATGGATGAAAGCACTTGTATTGAAGAACATAACTACACAAATATCGATCAGTCTAGAATAGGAACAAATTTCGACGAAATAAACAGATGCTGAACGGAATCGATGATTACGTAAAGTGAAATTCGTGGGACCCACGTGGGTTAGTGGGCAACACTAAGTGATATATATGATATGTGTAACAACAGTAGAAAAGTAATCACAACACTGGGTAGAAATTCAAGCACGAAGAAGTGACAAACAAACCTCATAATTTAGAGCCAATATTTCAACCAGTTAGTCATATTTGTCATGGCCATGACAAACTATCTACACAAAAGAACTCTCTTCTGGTTCGTATAAATGGTATTAGTCATTAATAAAATATGCAAATGCACATAAAGTAATCCATGAATTAATCCTCACAAACTGAATGCATTGCGATTAATTGTTTCGGAAATATTCTAGTACAAACATCATATTGTGTCCGTTTCAATGCGACATTTGTTTATTATTGTTTGACAAATAGTAGAATTTGAAATGACGTAAAATTTCATCCCACATTTACGCATCGTATATAATATATCTGAGGAAAATTTTTAAATCATCAATAAGATTTCAAGCCAAATGGTTGACTGAGAATAAATTAGCAAATTAAAGAGAAATCCAGACCTATTAAACCATATTTCAAAAAATAGAATTTCAAAAAAAAAAACTCCATATTTTAAGAGCAGAAAATCCATGCTTGGACAAATCTGAGAAATCGCAGAATAAACGGTTGATAACGTTGAGACAGAATGCATCCTTATTGTGTAAACAAAGTGTTCTTTAGGAAATGAAGATGAACTTTGGTCATAGAACAACTACCTAGCATTGTTATCAGCAATAATCAAGCTCAATATACAAACGTTCAAGGAGATTCACATTACATCATCGACTTCTGCGCTCTCTAAAACTCACATAGTGCATTAAGAATGATAAACCACAACTGCTCAACCAAATCCTAAAATTTAATTATAGACTCTACAACCGGATCTCACCATTGTTACATTTCCCTGCATCTTATCATTCGTACAGTTTCCAACAAAAAATAACTGTTTATTCAAGAACATGTACAGTAATCACCATTGATAAATTTCCATACCGACCACTTCGATTACCAATTCCAACTCTACTGTAACACTCTCTAAAAACTGTTTGATAATAAAATCCTGTACACCACTATTCCAACCCACACTTGAGATTATACTTCTCGATATACCAGCAGTTCACATCAGCCTTTATTGCACTGTTCAAGACCTTCAGATTAACGCTACTGTCGCCAATTTGATAGCACCTAATTCACTTCCAATGGACTTTAGCATTCAAGAAAAATCTCTCTTAAACTATTCATATATAAAGTAGGACAGTAAGCCGATAATGTGAAGAGAACATCCGTTTACATACATCCGAATTTCACTATGATCTCCATCGAAAGTGGTATATTTCAAGACAATGTGGATGGACAAAATAGCTAAAATAGGGTTTTTTTTTTTTCTTTTGAAAACGCGAATTCATATATGATTGAATTTTTATTTGTTTAAAATATACTAATCAACGTATAGCTAGTTGACTGTAATTATAATAGAATAAACAAATAAAAGATAAATGGAACAAGAATAAAACTTTTCAGAGATGGCATCGCGGAATGGGCAATGATTGAATTACAAGGGACCTTAGAGTCAGCTGGTATACTTGCAGGACTACGAATTGGTAGCTTAAAATAGAAAAACAAAAAAGTGTTCCTTTCTTCCATATAAATAAGTTCAAGAGTATAAGTTACACTCAAAGGTGTATTAAATTTTATACTATCACTACCAGATTTTGTATCATTGAAAAAAAAAAAAAAAAAAAGCTATAATGGGACACTTACACTCATGATTTAAACACTTACAACTAAGTGTAAAATAAAGTAAGCAATTGAATATTTTTCTTTTCCAGGCTTTACTTCATATTGGCCATCACATTATTGAAGGAAAAGAAGTGAAACTTCAAAATTCGCTGATTGTACTTGCATGAGATGCTGAAAACCAAGGAATTGCACAAATTGCTGCTGTGATTCGTAAAAAAGTTCAGTTCCGTGCTCGACCAATGCCTGTGTGATTGATTTGTCATGATTTTGTATCTAAATGTATATGTCTTTGCCTAGCAATTTCTTCACTTTATCTACGATTAGGAGATATATTTCTC